GATTTGTCGACAGCGTCCTTCGTGGGGTGAATTGCAGGATGCGCTGGAAGAGGTTTGCTCAGGCACTGGAATAGTCTGCCCGGGGAGGTAGTGGAGTCACGACCCCTGGAGGTGTTTCAGAGGTGTCTGGATGTGGTGCTGGAGGATCTGGTTCAGGGGTTCCAGCAGTGATAGTTTAGTGGTTGGACTCGATGATCTGAGAGATCTCCTCCAATCTTGATGGTTCTATGATTCCTAGGGGGCAACCTGGGACGGCACCACATGTGCCCATGTCAGGAGCATTATTCTTAGCTTCTCCACTCCTTGACTTAGGGCACCAATTTTCAGGATTAGACCTGAGCTGTCAGTAGTCAGTAGCAATTCATGCATCCAAAAGCCAAAACACATTAGAGGACAGTGATTTGGAATGTAGCTAGGAGGTGGAAGTCATGCTGACCGTGGGTAACCCCGGAGCGATGGGAAGTGTTTTGGGACACATCTGCTGAAGAGAGGCTACCGAGAGAGAGCAGAGAGGGCTGTGGTGAAGGTGCTACAGAGAGAGAGCAGAGAGGGCTGTGGTGAAGGTGCTGCCACCAGCAGTGCGTGCAGGTGGTCACAGAGACTTCTGGCTGGTGACCGCCCCTCTAAGAAGCACATTTCATGCATGGGAAAAGTGAATTAGGCAGCAGAGTATGGGCCTCAGCGTTCTTCACACAACACCACAAAGGTGAACAAAGAGCAGAAATACTTCTCTGTCTAGGATCCCCAAACTATTTGTAGCTGGAGATGTGACAACACCACCTTGCAGTTTAAGAACAATGCTTTTCTACTCAACTGTTAGGCAGGCTCTGTTTTAAAGCACAGATCTAAGTGTGGTCTACTACACTTTGTGGTCCAACTATTGTAACATAGCTTATTTTTTTTTCAGAGAGAGTGGTATCCTGTGTTTGGAAAGGGACAGTGCATTCAGTTTTATGGTAATATATTCAAAGGTGATATGTAAACTGCAGTTAACACATTTTTGCTATTGCTTTGTGGCATAAGGTATGGTAAGGTGGCATTACCACCTTTAGTGTACAGTGAAGTATCAAGAAAGTTGCTTGAATGTATTTAACATAAAAAAATTAGCATCAAAAAGTCAATCCTACTTTCAACATTGATGTCCATTTTGAGTTACCTTTAACAAAGTCTGTACAAATAAACCTGTTTTTTTTCACTCCTGAATCTTTTTAAAGGAGCTTGCATCCCATGAAGAATTTCCTTCAAAACAAACATGAGAATTTCTGATGTTTACAGATTCACATATGATAGATTTGGCAGATTTTAATCTGCATCCCATGTATTCTACAGACAGAAACAATAAAAGTCTTCATAATCAAAATCAAAGAATCTGCCCATTCCTGTAACTGATCTCTATTACTTATTAAAGGCAGCTCAGCTGTGTTTTTGAAGGGTTTCTGGAATCTGGTTTTGACTCTGGAATCTGATTTTGAAGACCTATATCAATGTCCATATCTCTATCTGTAGATAAATGCGTGTAGTTTGTAGTGAAGGGAATCTTGCTGTCAGTAGATGTGTTACCTGACTGCAATCCAAACATATATGCACATGCTTATTTATGTGCATTAAATACTTCCACAGAAATAACACAGGTCATAAACAAATGCCTAAAGACTAACACACAAGTGTTCTGACTGGGAAGACATCAGACAGAATGAGAGTGAACTTTCTGATGAGAGATGCTAGTTTCTGTGCTTAGTGCCCTACTGGGACACACCTAGTGACTACTGTCATCAATGCAGTGTAAGAACTTAAAAAGAAGAAGAAAAGAATATGAGGGCAAAATTCTGTAGGCAGTCTAGAGACCACACTTACGGCTCCTATTTTAAAAATTGCTGCATGTTGCCTGATGCTAACAGGAAGAGTTCTAGTTTGTGTGCACATTTTTCTTTCCTAAAATCAAAAACCAATAGTTTGGATTGAACTGCACTCTATTGTTGTAGCAACCTGGCAGGACATGGTCATAATAACAGCGAGGAAACTGATCTATTTCCAGTCTTAGGTGAACATCTCACAAATACGAGAGAGGAAAGAGGAACTGGGGACAAATACTCTCAGTTTCCGTAATCAAAACTGCTGTTACTAAGTGTCTCAATGAAACGGGAACAGTGAGATTTGATGAAAACAGGTAGATGGCTGCAGGGTACTTTTGAGTGGGCTGTTGTCATGTGTGAAGTGGAAGGCAGAGAGGATCTCTTTTGCTGGCTGAAGTCCAATCTTTACGTTCAGACTAGTATATGCCATTGTCTAGTCAATGACACAACACCCCCAATGGCATTAAAGATTACAGTGTTGTAGCTACACACTTGAATTCTATCTACAGCCAGGCTTCGTCTGCACTGAATTAATAACATTTTTACTGGTTGTCTTATTATTCTATCAGCTGTTCTTTAATGGTGACATGGAATTTTCAGCACTGGAATGACTGCATGCCTTTAAAAGAAACGTGTGCTCATAGGTTTGCAGTTTGTGGTCTTGGTAAGAAATGTGCTGTATGAAGTGAGGGGAGCTCAGTGGTGAGGTAGAGTACAGATACAATTATCATATCTACCAAGTGATTTTTCTCCATTTTGGTTTTAAATATGTCTTTCACAATATCTGTAAATGTTTCTGAGTGACATTTGATGTGGCCTTATTTGTCATTGACTTTTTCTGTATCTATCTTTGGTCTGGTATTTCTATTCTTAACAGTCATGGGTTGCCATCACTGGGAATAGTCATCTGTATCTTCTACAACTTATTTATATAGAGGAGAGAACTTCTCTGTTAAGATTACCTCTGAAGTACCCAAGGGAGAGAGGGAGTAACCTTGGTCATATCACTAGCTGTAATACTTGGAATACATAGCCATAATTAATTGTCCCAATGACTCACTCTGCTTTCTGCTACACTCTTTGGGAGATGACAGAAGGTCATTGTGCCAATGATGTCTCACACATTCAGGGAAAGTTTACCAAAACTAGGTGCATAATCTGATACTGAACTCACAAAGACCAATTTGGAAACAGAAACAAGGGGACTGAGAGGAGAATTCACAGGCACATGTCAGAGCCTCTCTGAGAGGGATAATGACAGAGGAAGAGTTTTGGTCAAATGAAAGCAAGGAGAAAAGCTATACGGATACTTACCATGTGCTTTAGTGTCCTTGGGCAAGCTTTAAAATATCCTGGAGAATTTGTGTTGAAGTGAGAGAAAACAGTTACTGTTAAAGCCCAGGATATAGCTGTTCTCCTACTCCAACAAGGATGACTAACAGTGAGATAAGCCATCCATTCCTCAGTGCTGTAGGAGTCCTTGGGAACTGGTCATGGAAATGGTTTGTTAAGGAAACAATTGCCCTACAGAGATTTTGGAGTCCCCTTCCCTAGAAGTAAGTCACAAACCATCTCCCTCCAGGAGGCTCAGTGCCTCCTGCTTCCATTAAAAATGTCAGACCTATTGCTTGCATCACTGGAAACAAATCTGGGCCTAGTGCGAAGGGAACTCCCAGTTCTAGGATCAGGGTGAAATCCCTGTTCTGCGATTTCATTGCTAACCTGGTAGGGAGCTTCCTGTAATCTACAAACAGCATCCCACAGTCAGTTTGCTGCTTATGGGGAACTTGAATCAAACTTTCCCCACTTTGCACTGGGGTGGGAACAGGATATTTGAATAGGAGTGCAAACCTCTCACATCATGTCTGTTGGGAGTGTGCTGTGTCATTCAGCAGTGCACTTGGAAACCAGTGTGGGATTGATTTACTCTAGGCATGAGATGACTGAAAAAGATATTTTATCACGCAACGCAAGGCAAGGAGTCCTGGAATTCTTGATTACATGCCTGTAATGTGTTGTTAACATGTGGTTACCCAATAGAATATTCTAATTTGCACTATAGGAAAAATAACTGGCCTCTTCATTAACTGAATTGCAGGAACAAGAACAGTTTGTTCTATTCAGCAGTTTGGACAAGTGTTGAATCACATGAGCAGTAGGCTGTTCTGCTGCTTAAAAGGAGTCCTGGAATTCTTGATTACATGCCTGTAATGTGTTGTTAACATGTGGTTACCCAATAGAATATTCTAATTTGCACTATAGGAAAAATAACTGGCCTCTTCATTAACTGAATTGCAGGAACAAGAACAGTTTGTTCTATTCAGCAGTTTGGACAAGTGTTGAATCACATGAGCAGTAGGCTGTTCTGCTGCTTAAGACTGTCAGATGACTGAAACTCACACTCCTTGATCACTAGCTTTGAAGAGAGAGATGAAGTCTGAGTACCTGAGCATTTTTGGTATGGAATTATGGACTGGCACAAATGAAAAATAGGAAATTAAAATGCAGGATATGGGCAGAAACATTTACAAATACATGACAGGTACCAGATCTTAGCAAACGAGAGAATGCAAAGTCAGTTAAAAGTGGGATGTTGATGACCAGATGACTTGAAGTTCTACTATTTGATATGTCATTGCTCTGGGATTTTCTTGAACCCAATGTTGAAGTTAGTATTTTAGCAGTTCGAATTACTGTCTACATAGTTATAGTTAGTCTATAGGACACAACAATCACCTTCAATTCATTTTACATGTCTCAGAATCCTGTGCTAAACCTCCTAAATTTTCTGCATTTCTCTATTTCAGAACTAGGTTTTATTCCAAGTTACTGATGCAGCACAATTCTCTTGGTACAAATTCTCTGAATCTACAGTAACTGCTAAAATCTGACAGCGTTCTATTGATTTGACAATTCAGTAGAAGTCTCATAGCACTGAAAAGCTCAGCTAAAGAGCTGGGGTTAGAACTCAGTGCTTTCACTGAGTACTTCACTCTTTCTCAGCCACATTCAGTTTCATCCTTGTGTGTTGTTGTTACTGCTTTCTTCCATCTATCTAATCACATATGAAGTGAAACCTCACAGAAATCTGTTTCAATGGCTTACTGTTGTCTCTACTTTTAATTATCACTGGGATTCAGGAATAAGACTTTGCAGATGGAAAAAATAAAGGCACGACTGAAAGCAGAATTTGAAGCCCTGGAGTCTGAGGAGAGGCACCTGAAAGAATACAAACAGGAAATGGACCTGCTGCTGCAGGAGAAGATGGCCCACGTGGAGGAACTGCGACTGATCCACGCCGATATCAATGTGGTATGCAACAGTCCAGCTGCAGACTAGACACAGCTGTGTATGAATCACTCCACATGCTGTGGAGCTGTGCATGCCAGTGAACTATCACTGGTTCAATAATCTGGACTTTACAACACCATCCTAGGATCCTGCAAAGAGTGCAGAGCAAATTGACCTCAGGATAACTGTTTTTAACCTGTGTTGGGCAGGATATTTTATGCTGTTGGCACAAGAAGTGCTTGCACCAAGAGGATAGGTAACGAAGCCTGTTGTGGTTACCAGTAGCCACAGGGACATCACTCCAGCAGTCCCATAGAAAACTGTTTTTCCAGTTAGGCTTTTCTTATTTAGCATCAGGAAACAAAGACTTTGGCAGCTAGGTAGGACTTTTGACTGGAGGATTTGGGAAGAAACAGATTTTGAGAAAAGACATGTTATTTGTTAAGTTCTTAGTAAGATCTGACCTTGCTCACTGAGTGGAACCACCAAACATTGAGAAGTACCAGCCTGGAGGGAATTAATGCAAGTAAGAGAAAAACCCCAAGGAAGATTAGACAATTAGAGGGGCTAAATAGGGAATATATTTTTAAGCATGCAGATTTTGCATCATGTCAGGGCACTTGCATGACTGTATAGTGGTTTCTAGCTCTGAAGGTATCTGCTTTGCACCAGAAAAAATTGCTCCCAGACTGTAAAGAAGCTAGGTACTGGGCATGCAGACTGCATTTATTTGTCACATGAAATGTCTGTTCCCCTGTCCAGCTGCACAATCTGAGTCTCTCTTTTATCCTCCCCTCTTTTTCCAGTCAGATTGTCTTTTTCTCCACTACTGTTCCCATTTACAGCAGAAGCAGGAACATCGCTTAGCTTGTTCATTAACCTCTAATGATCTGTGTCCAGTATCTTAGAAACACAACAAATTTGCTTATTCTACTTTAATTTCTTTTTTAATGTCTCTTGAGAGTTTTCTGTAGCTCCCCATTTGCTGACTTAGCCCTGCCACCTGCTTTTTCTGGTGTTCAGAAGGTCATACAGGTTGAGTGCACCTTTTCAAAATGAAAATGCATCTCATATGTCACTTTCTGTTGCTTCCTCCTTGCCCACTTTTCATCCTCCCAATACCTTAACTCTTTGCTTTATTATTGCATTGTCTTCAATCTCTTCCAATTTGAGTGAGAAAAATCTCTTCTTTCTGGTACAGTCTCTTGCTAAGTCAGAGGAACAGTCCTTTAAAAGCGTGCCCATCCTCCCATTTCAGATGGAGAACACTATCAAGCAGTCTGAGAACGACCTTAATAAGCTCTTGGAATCTACGCGCCGCCTGCACGAGGAGTACAAGCCCCTGAAGGAGCACGTAGATGCCTTGCGAATGACTCTGGGGCTGCAGAGGCTGCCAGATCTGTGTGAGGAGGAAGAGAAGCTGTCCCTCGAGTAAGTCTCCAAACATTATCTGGCTTTATACTTGCTCTCAGTTCTACTGATCATTTTCTCATTGTACTTTGGTTGGTAGGTGGAAAAAAAGAGCTCAAAATGTGAGCATGAAGGGCACAAGTTAGTGAAAAAGGGCTCCCCAAACACGTGGGAGGACGTGTTTGACAACATTCAGCCTGAATTTGTTGTGAGGCAAATTTATTCCAAGCTGCAAACTCTACATATGACATGCACAAAGTCAGGGGTGGCTGGGTCTCTAGATTATTATACTGTATACTGCATTTTCTAGCAACTTCTTTTTTGCCTGAAAATTGTTTTGATTTTGCTCGTTTAGTGAGCAGTAGTAGAAGGCAATACAAGAGAAGGATACAAACCCAAAGTACTCCTCAGCTGGTTTGTGCTGCTGCTAGTCGGAATTTTAGTTTTGCTGCCTGCATGTGGCAGTGGCATTTGGCCATACACCTGTGACAGGCATCGGGGAAGCTTACCCTAGGTGGGACAGACTTGGATAATAAGTTGCAGTTTGATTTTTAGGCACAGCCTAGGTGGGGGAGGGCAGCACAATTAGCTGCTATTCCGAGAACAGTGTCCTTGGCTTAACAGATCAGTGTTACCTGCAGGGGTGTTTTCAGAAGCTTTTGTTTCTCCTAACACCCAGCAAAATCTACCTCATTTTCACAGACACACAGTTTTCAAGATTTCTCTTGTGTTTCTTTAGAACTGTTGTTTTACATTTCAAACACCATGGCACTGTGGAGGGTGTATTAATCTACTTCATTCATTTTAACAGAAGAAAATAGAAAACCTGTTTAACAGAGGTACATCAGAAGCTGTTAAATATATATATGTATGTTGTCTATTTTCCATCCTGTTAGATTTATATCCAGTGGTACATCAAGATACCTTAGAAGCTGACAGTCTGGAATTTGGCTGAAGTGTACAAATGCAGAGGAAAATACCACCAATCTTATTTATGAATCAGTCTAAATGTAAGGAATTTGACTCTGGTGGAGGAACATGATAGGGAAATGTGATCTGTTGTATTTTAAGACTTACCCTTACAAACTACTGGAATACTCCAGAAGGTGGTTATATTTTTGCTTTGTTATTCTTCTGTCTAGCTACTTTGAAAAGCAGAAAGCAGAATGGCAGACAGAACCGCAGGAGCCTCCCATCCCAGAGTCTCTGGCTGCAGCTGCAGCAGCTGCTCAGCAGCTGCAAGTGGCTAGGAAACAGGACACCAGGCAGACAGCAACTTTCAGACAGCAGCCACCTCCAATGAAGGTGAGGAGATGGAATGCACTGGGGCTTCTCTTCTGTCACTGGAACACATTATGTTTGTAAAGTTGATCAGTATTTGCAAAAAGAAAAAATCCTGTGTCCAGATTCTGATTTTCCCTGTAGTGGTTCAAATCAAGAGCTACCAGTAGGCTTAAAGTAGTAGCCAGAGTCATCAAGGGTTAAGGGTAAGACTGTTTTATGACAAGTCTCCAAGCAGGCATTTCCCACTCCTCTTATGTTTCATATGGGAGAAAGGCATGTAAGAAAGAAAAAAAAAGCTTGGCAAAAGGAAAACTAGTAGCTGGTAGTTAATGCCAAATGGAGCAATGCACATATTTTGCGATGTAAACTACTGATGGTATAAATTAACAGGAAAGGTGATTGTTTCTGCACTTGGGGTCTTCAAGACGAACATATAGATTAATTTAACCTAGCCAGAGGCACTTAAGTGACGGTTTTACTCAGCTCCTTCTGTAGTAAGAAGAGCTAAGTAATTCCATAGGGGTGTTCATCCCACCCAGGTTTGGAAGAGTCACTGACTAAGGAGGCAAACTGATGTAGGTACCCTCCATAGTTATATGCGTCCTATCTGTAGTTAGGCAATTGAAAAGACTTTCTGCAAGTAATGTGTTTCAGTCAAATGCAAATTAAAGGGCTTAGTATGGGGCAAAAGGGCAAAGTTCTGTACCTTGTGTATGTGCAATTCATCTAATCCCCTGCTCCTGCCTTAAATTCTATGACAGCACATGTGGCCTTTGCTGTAACTTCTCTGACTTGGTGAGCTATTATGCATGCAAACACCTTTAAAACATCATTTGGACATTTAATACAAAGTAGAATTTAAAGTTATTGCTACATGGATGAACCACGTATCTGCAGAACTGAAGTTTTAGTTCAGTGAGATACTCCGTTTTTTCCGCTGGCCTGAAATGGTTGAATAGTCCAGAGACCCAGACTGTATAGAATGTAGGCACCAGTTTGCCTTTGAAGGCAAGAAGCCTGATTTTTGCCTGTACTGTGACTTAGAATGTGATGCTCAATAACCCCTGTGACAACACCTCCTACATGTCTGTAACAAGAGGCTGCACCGTTGCGTTTCAGGCATGTTTATCGTGTCACCAGCAAATCCACCGGAACGCGCCCATTTGTCCACTCTGCAAAGCCAAGAGCCGATCTCGGAACCCCAAAAAACCCAAGAGGAAACAGGATGAATGAAATCCAGAAGACTGACAAGCAAACACATGACCTGTTCCAGTACTCGTCCAGCAGAACTGCAAACGTGGCCAGACTTTACTGATGTGCAGGCTCAGTTATGACTGTCTCATTGTCTTCTATTTAATGCAATGTAAGCACAATGTTCCTGTTCTGTCACAAGTCCCTTCCAGTCCTTAGGATTTTTAGAAAAGTAAGTATTACTGGTGCTACAGTTCAGCGTTTCAATTGTTCCATCTTTTGGACTCCTAAACAAAGTAGAATTCTTTGTGCAAGTATCCTAAATGTCAGGCTGTTTCTATTGTCCACATGTGATTTCCACAAATGCTTTTTGTAAAAAACAGATGTCACTCAAAGATTATTCTGTTTTCTCCTGATGACAGGAGACTGTTTGAAGTGCTGAAATAGCAGACTGTCTGTCTGTTTCACTGAAGAACAATTTGTTTTCCAAGCTAGTAAGACTGGTTTGGGCATCCAGTAGAACTCTTTTTATACAGGAAATGTTCAGGGAAAACAAGACTGGCTACACAGAAAATCAGTGGAAACACATGAGTTTTGATTTACTGGAGTTTGATTGTACCATTCCCACAAACTTGACTTAAAACCTAGGAAGCTGCTGGCTGCGTATGAATTACTAAAAATGATGTAATTTGCCATGCTTTAACATCTTAATAGGTAATAATTTTCAGCGATCAAAAGACGGACTTAAGAACAAGGCTCAGATGAACTGCATTAGTGGTCCTCCTAGGCTCTGTGGTCACCTAGACTGCAACATCCGCCATTCTGCATGTCTCCTACTCCTGGTTTCAGCTGCCAGGATCTCCCTGGCAGACATTTCCTCCACTGGAGCACAGCAAAGTGCAGTAACATGCACAAGGAACAATGTCAACTAAAAGTTATGTGTTTCACCAGAACCACCTAGCTTTAGTGTCCTCATCCTCCCCTAACCAAAACTTTCTACTTTTTGTGTCTTTTAATAGGTAATTTTCAAGTAAGCTTTACTTCAGGCCAGTTGTTTTTCTTGGTCTGTGTGTGTGCCAAAAGAACACCGACTAAAGCATCTGGAGTAGACCACTCCCTGTAGCTGTGTATTCCCTTTGTTTCACCTAATATAACAACAGTTCCTCTAATGAGGACGATGGCAGTAACCTACCTACAAAACCAAGGCTTAAAATTTACTCCTCTCTAACCCCAGTTTTGTCACTGCCTTTTGTTGTCTAAACTGATGTCATATATGCTTTTCACTAACTTCAGGAGCAGAGACTGCTTGTTCACATTCCTCTCTCTTTAGTCCAGGTTCTTCTCTACTATTATGCTAGAGTGGTCATATAGAGGACTTGGCTTGTTAAATAGGAAGAACAGAAGCCCCAGGGCTCTGGTCAGAACTTTGCCAAATGCTCTCAACTGTAGTGCCCTGTTCAGAGCAATTCCCAGTGAGGTGAAGGGGCAATGCACACAAAGGACAGCACATGGACTCCCCTGCAGCACTCACATGAGAGCAGAGTACTTCGGTGGTGGTTGTATATAAATTTGAGAAGTAGTGACAATGGAGTGGCCAAACGGCCTGCAATGAAGTAGTGTGAATAGGAGGATTGATTTGTAGAAACCTCCCCTTAACAGTTCTGAAATAGATAGGGTTAGTCATAGTTGCTGTCCCTTCACTGTTACTTTGTCAGGTTCTTTCTTTCTTGGGAGATCTCCAGACTGAAGTATGCTTCAGGATGCAGCACTTAATAATTTAGTATGGCAGCTTTGTGTTTTCACTTTTTTAAACTAGTCTCTTGTGCTTGTGTTTAATGAGGTTAGGGGTTTTTTGTTAATATGACACACTGTATTTGCATCAATCATGTACTGGTCTGTTTTCACATCCTTTACAAAGTTGTGCCGCATGAATAGCGTGCGTTGCTGAGGATGGGTATCACTGAAGGTAAGTCAGCAGGGTGCTCTGGCAGCCAGAAGGGCCAACCGGCGACAGGCCACGAGGACAGAGAATGGAAGCTGCATTAGGGGAAGTTCAGACTGGGCATTAGGAAAAGGCTCTTCTTTGAGAGAGAGAGGGTGGTTGGTCACTGGTACAGTGACCCAGGGAAGTGGTCAAGGCACCAAGCCTGTCAGAGGTCAAGGAGCACCTGGGTGACACTCTTAGTCGTATAGTTTAGTGCTAGGTGGCCCTGTGAAGAGCAGGAAGTTGGACTTGATCCTTATGGGTCCCTTAATACTTGAGATATTCTATGATTCTAACTATTTCAAGGAGCTAAAATACATGTTACGTGTTAAGGGATCATGGGGTTGGAAGCATGGAGAGCAGCAGGGTCTCTTGTAGG